CGGTTTAGCAGCCGTGATTCCATCGTCAGTAATAACGAGCCTTTCCACTTTTCAGCATATATCAGTCTTGCTGCTGTGATCATCTATTAAAGCCATTTTTTCCATAGCAACTTTAGAATCATAGAATCAAAGAGTTGGAAGAGACCTCCTGGGCCATCCAGTCCAACCCATTCTGCCAAGAAGCAGGAATATTGCATTCAAATCACCCCTGACAGATGGCCATCCAGCCTCTGTTTAAAAGCTTCCAAAGAAGGAGCCTCCACCACACTCCGGGGCAGAGAGTTCCACTGCTGAACGGCTCTCACAGTCAGGCAGTTCTTCCTCATGTTCAGATGGAATCTCCTCTCTTGTAGTTTGAAGCCATTGTTCCGTCCTAGTCTCCAAGGAAGCAGAAAACAAGCTTGCTCTCTCTCCCTGTGGCTTTCTCTCACATATTTATACATGGCTATCATATCTCCTCTCAGCCTTCTCTTCTTCAGGCTAAACATGCTCAGCTCCCTAAGCCGCTCCTCATAGGGCTTGTTCTCCAGACCCTTTATCATTTTAGTAGCCCTCCTCTGGACACATTCCAGCTTGTCAATATCTCTCTTGAATTGTGGTGCCCAGAATTGGACACAATATTCCAGATGTGGTCTAACCAAAGCAGAATAGAGGGGTAGCATTACTTCCTTAGATCTAGACACTATGCTCCTCTTGATGCAGGCCAAAATCCCATTGGCTTTTTTTGCCGCCACATCACATTGTTGGCTCATGTTTAACTTGTTGTCCACGAGGACTCCAAGATCTTTTTCACACGTATTGCTCTCGAGCCAGGCGTCCCCATTCTGTATCTTTGCATTTCATTTTTTCTGCCAAAGTGGAGTATCTTGCATTTGTCACTGTTGAACTTCATTTTGTTAGTTTTGGCCCATCTCTCTAATCTGTCAAGATCGTTTTGAATCCTGCTCCTGTCCTCTGGAGTATTGGCTATCCCTCCCAATTTGGTGTCGTCTGCAAACTTGATGATCATGCCTCCTAGCCCTTCATCTAAGTCATTAATAAAGATGTTGAACAGGACCGGGCCCAGGACGGAACCCTGCGGCACTCCACTTGTCACTTCTTTCCAAGATGAAGAGGAAGCATTAGTGAGCACCCTCTGGGTTCGTCCACTTAACCAATTACAGATCCACCTCACCGTAGTTTTGCCTAGCCCACATTGGACTAGTTTCCTTGCCAGAAGGTCATGGGGGACCTTGTCGAAGGCCTTCCTGAAATCCAGGTACGCTACATCCACGGCATTCCCCGCATCTACCCAGCTTGTAGCTCTATCGAAGAAAGAGATCAGATTAGTCTAGCATGACTTGTTTTTGATAAATCCATGTTGACTATTAGCGATGACTGCATTTGTTTCTAAGTGTTTGCAGACCGCTTCCTTAACAATCTTTTCCAGAATCTTGCCCGGTATCGACGTGAGGCTGACCGGACGGTAGTTGTTTGGGTCATCCTTTTTTCCCTTCTTGAAGATTGGGACCACATTGGCCCTCATCCAATCTGCTGGAACTTCTCCCGTTCTCCAAGAACTCTCAAAGATGGTTGCCAATGGTTCCGAAATGACTTCCGCTAGTTCCTTCAATACTCTGGGGCGTAGTTGATCTGGCCCTGGGGACTTGAACTCATTAAGAGCGGCCAGGTATTCCTGGACGACTTCTTTCCCAATTTGGGGTTGGATGTCCTCCAATCCCTCATCCACTCCATCTTGCTGAGGTTGAAGACTCTCTTTTTGTGAGAAGACCGAGGCAAAGAAGGCATTAAGTAGTTCTGCCTTTTCCCTATCCCCTGTCAACATTGCCCCATCTTCTCCTCGAAGAGGTCCTATCGCCTCCTTGTTTTTCCTTTTTCTACTGACATAAGAATAGAAGCCCTTTTTATTGTTTTTAATGTCCCTGGCAAGTCTGAGCTCGTTTTTTGCTTTAGCCTTGCGGACCTTTTCCTTACAGGTGTTGGCTATTTGTTTGAATTCTTCTTTGGTGATTTCTCCCTTTTTCCACTTCTTGTGCATGTCTCTTTTGTGTCTTAGCACAGTTAGAAGTTCTTTGGACATCCATTCTGGCTTCTTTGCACTTGTCCTATTTTTTGTCTTTGTTGGCACGGTTTGCAATTGCGCCTTGAGTATTTCACTCTTGAGAAATTCCCATCCATCCGTAACTCCCTTGTCTTTTAGTATCTGTGTCCACGGAATGCTGCTCAGCGTTTCCTTCATTTTTTGGAAATCAGCTCTCCTAAAGTCCAAAATGCGGGTTTGACTTGTCTTAGTTTCGGCCTTCCTTTGTACCTCAAATTGCAGGAGCACATGGTCACTTGCCCCTAAGGATCCTACCACTTCGACTGCATCGATCAGGTCCTCCGCATTTGTTAGGATGAGATCAAGAGTAGCCAATCCCCTTGTTGCCTCTTCTACCTTCTGGACCATGAAATTGTCTGCAAGGCAAGCGAGGAATTTGTTGGACCTTGTACTCTTGGCCGAGTTTGTTTTCCAGCAAATATCGGGATAGTTGAAATCGCCCATGACTACTACATCTCTTCTCTGTGCCTGTTTGGTCAACTGTTGGCAGAAGACTTCATCAAGTTCTTCCTCCTGGCTTGGGGGTCTGTAGTAGACGCCTACAACGACATCTTTTGAGTCCCAGTTCCCTTGATTCTTATCCAGATGATTTCAAGCTGGTTTCCCAGATTGCTGTCTTGAATCTCTTCTGCAGCATAAGAGTTTTTGACATATAAGGCTACTCCGCCTCCTCTCCCCTTTGTTCGGTTTCTGTGAAAGAGGTTATACCCCTCGATATCTACATTCCAGCGATAGGAGTCATCCCACCAGGTTTCAGTGATCCTATGATATCATATTTGTGGTGTTGTGCTAAAACTTGGAGTTCGTCTTGTTTATTTCCCATGCTCTGTGCATTAGTGTAAAGACATGTGAGCCCCTGAGATCTTCCCCTGAGCTGTTTAATTGGGATTATTGTTCTTTCGGTAGTTGGTCCTTGTTGTGTTTGTGCAGCCCTCCATTTATACATGGCTATCATATCTCCTCTCAGCCTTCTCTTCTTCAGGCTAAACATGCCCAGCTCCTTAAGCCGCTCTTCACAGGGCTTGTTCTCCAGACCCTTGATCATTTTCCAAGCATTCGGCCATAATTTCTCAGAAAGGGATATATTTCTGCATTTAGTTGTATGCTAATATTTAGTATCTTATGTGTTTGATCCAAATCTTTCTCATAAGTCCACCTCATATGATAAATAATAATCAAAAGGCCACCCTACTGGGATCTGCACGCATTATTTGCTGATACATCACACAATCTTAAACACTTGGGAAGTGTCCAACGTGTAATCCAACACAACATAATGATCTTGTTTGCTGTATACTAATCTTGTTGTGTTTCTAACAACAACAACAATAACAACAACAACTTGGGTAGTGTCTGACGTGTGATCCAATACAACATAATGATCTTGTTTGCTGTGTACTAATCTTGTTGTGTTTATAATAATAATAATAATAATAATAATAATAATAATAATAATAACAACAACAACAACAGCAACAACAACAACTTGGGAAGTGTCTGACGTGTGATCCAATACAACAGCCAGCAGAGTGTCTGCTGTGGACTCCTCTTGTTGTGTTTCTAATAATAATATTAAATAATAATGATAATAATAATAACAACAACAGCAACAACAACTTGGGTAGTGTCTGACGTGTGATCCAATACAACATAATGATCTTGTTTACTGTGTACTAATCTTGTTGTGTTTCTAATAATAATAATAATAATAACAACAACAACAGCAGCAGCAGCAACAACTTGGGAAGTGTCTGACGTGCGATCCAGTACAACAGCCAGCAGAGTGTCTGCTGTGGACTCCTCTTGTTGTGTTTCTAATAATAATATTAAATAATAATAATAATAATAATAATAATAATAATAATAATAAACATGGCTGTGGTTCACAAATGGAACTCTGAAAAAGGAGACAAAGGAGGCCCTGATTCTGGCAGCCCAGAAACAAGCCATTAGAACAAATGCCATCAAAGCCAGAATTGAAAAGTCATTGACAGATCCCAAATATAGACTTTGCAAGGAAACAGATGAAACAATTGATTGCATCCTCAGTTGCTGCAAGAAAATTGCGCAGACAGACTACAAGCAGAGGCATAACACCGTTGCTCAGATGATTAATTGGAACTTGTGCCACAAACACCGTCTACCTGTGACAAAGAACTGGTGGGATCACAAGCCAGAAAAAAATTAAAGAAAATGAACACATCAAACTCCTCTGGGACTTTTGAATTCAGACAGACAGAGTTTTGGAGCACAAGACTCCTGACCTCACGATTGTGTTGAAAAACAAAGTATGGCTCGTAGATGTTGCAATCCCAGGTGACATCAGGATTGAAGAGAAACAACTGGAAAAGCTGACACGATATAAGGATTTAAAGCTTGAACTGCAAATACCCTGGCACAAGCCAGTCAAGGTGGTGCCAGTGGTGACTGGCACACTGGGTGCAGTGCCTCAAGACCTTGGCCTGCACTTAAACAAAATTGGCACTGTCAGCTGCAAAAGACCACCTTACTGGGATCTGCACACATTATTTGTCGATACATCACACACTCCTAGACACTCTTAGACACTTGGGAAGTGTGTGATGTATCGACAACATAGTGATCTTGTTTGCTGTGTACTAATCTTGTTGTGTTTGTAATAATAATAATAATAATAATAATAATAATAATAATAATAATAATAATGCACTTTATTTATATTCTGCTCTATCTCCTCGATTACAGCAGATTACAGCATACAGCGGATTACAGTATACACATATATAGGCAAACAATTTTTAGGTGTATCTCCACTCAGAAATTGGAGAAGTGTGCTATGAGGGATTACTTTGTACTTTCAGGACAGGAAGCACTGTTTTGAATGCTGCCTTAACTCATCCGCGTTTGTCTCCTTCTCCAGGGCATTTCCCAGGCCACTTTTGTCGGCCACGATTGGGCTGGTGTCACCATCTGGAGCATGGCTCTCTTCTACCCCGAGCGAGTCAAGTATGTTGAGCTCTCATTTTGGGGTTGGGCTATACTTTTCCTATAGAGAAGTTGGCATGATAATACTGGGTAGAGTCATGGTCTCCATCATGGGAGTTCTAGGTTGTCTAGTTGGTTTCAAAGATTCTATGCCAAGCAGCAATGTGCTTCTATGGGTTGTTTGAGTTGATATTGGTGACTTTAATGAATTGGGGGGGGGGGGGGGTTGTAGGTGAGATGTTCTGTGAAGTCCTTTATTAATGAACAATCAAACAGAAACTTTTCTTGTCTTCAATAAAGTTAACCAAATGCTTCCAGGCTTTTATGCAACTGGTGGCCTGATGGCTTCCTAAACTTGCCCACGAGGGACAGGCAACTGTCTTCAATAACTGATTCTTTACTTTAAAGGAAAATCTCCTTTTTAACTTCTCCCAGGCTGACTGTAATCTAACCCTTGCTGATGTGGGCTCCACTACCGGGTCAAACTGTGTCTTGAAGCACCGAGTGGACCTACCAGTAAAGGCTTAGATCTTCTCCAGCTGGAGTTCTTTGGTCTTCCAAACTGTTACCCTCCGAAATTCTTCAAAGCTTTAGGGCTGTTTCCCTGGAAATTTTTAGAATCTTTGGAGGCTCTTAAGATTGTTCTCCCCCGGAAAGTCTTAAGGGTTGAAGCTTTTGTACAGGGGAAGCTTGCACATATGCTACCCCTCTATTCTGCTTTGGTTAGACCACTTTACCTGGAATATTGTGTCCAATTCTGGGCACCACAATTCAAGAGAGATATTGACAAGCTGGAATACTGTGTCCAGAGGAGGGCGACTCAAATGATCAAGGGTCTGGAGAACAAGCCCTATGAGGAGCGGCTTAAGGAGCTGGGCATGTTTAGCCTGAAGAAGAGAAGGCTGAGAGGGGATATGATAGCCATGTATAAATATGTGAGAGGAAGCCACAGGGAGGAGGGAGCAAGCTTGTTTTCTGCTTCCCTGGAGACTAGGACGCAATGGAACAATGGCTTCAAACTACAAGAAAGGAGATTCCATCTGAACATGAGGAAGAACTTCCTGACTGTGAGAGCCGTTCAGCAGTGGAACTCTCTGCCCCGGAGTCCGGTGGAGGCTCCTTCTTTGGAAGCTTTTAAACAGGGGCTGGATGGCCATCTGTCAGGGGTGATTTGAATGCAATATTCCTGCTTCTTGGCAGGGGGTTGGACTGGATGGGCCATGAGGTCTCTTCCAACTCTTTGATTCTATGATTCTATGATTCTATTATTAGCTTTCCTTGCTGAGACTAACTAAAAATGGCTCCCTTCCCAATTTCCCTGAGCAAGGGGCGGAACCAAAACGTAACGATGATGGACAGGTAACTTGCCCTATGACTGCAACAAAGGAAGCCACCTTCCTGCAGAATCCCTGACTGCAAGCAAACATTTAATACAAAGCAAACAAAATTGGAGCTCCTGGTACAGCCGTACCAGCACAACTGTAAATAATAAATAAATTAATAAATAATGATTGCAAGGGACAAATATCATTACTTTGCACCTCACCTCACTGCCCTTTTCTGATTCCTTCCTGCGGTGCTTTTAGGGCGGTGGCCAGTCTGAACACACCTTACAAGCCTTCAAACCCCCAAAAAGACGTGATGAAGCAGATCGAAGCCAACCCCGTGTTCGATTATCAGCTCTATTTCCAGAAGCCGGTGAGTAGCACATATGCTAGGCATGGTCCAACTTCGGCCCTCTCTCTGGGTGTTTTGGACTTCAACTCCCACAATTCCTAACAGTCTACCAGCTGTTAGGAATTGCGGGAGTTGAAGTCCAAAACACCCAGAGCGAGGGCCGAAGTTGGACCATGCCTGGACTAAGAAACGGAGGTCTCTGCCCATATTTGCATCCTCTGCTGCAAATACTAAAACAGAAGTGCATTTTTTGCAGCAGGAAAACCACATTTGGGATACTCTGGGGCAGAGTTCATGAAGCTGTTCCCACTCTGGTATATAGTGGGAAGCGATTTCCGTTCGCCCGAAGTGCCTTTCCCTGTCGTTCCCACAGAGTTGTGATTAAAGAGATGAATTATTGAAATCTCCCCATTGTCTGCTCAAGGGCATTGCTTTCCAGGGCTAATCGAGCTGCCTTTCCTTATGCAAATGCTTTATTCAGTTCCACACCAAGCCCTCAATCGCATGCCTTTTCCACTGAACAATTGCACCTATTTTGCACCTGATGTACCTGTTCCAATTTATGTACAAATGAAAGTTAAGAACAAACCTACAACTTGGGTTGTTGTGTGTTTTCTGAGCTGCATGGCCATGTTCCAGAAGCATTCTCTCCTGATGTTTTGCCTGCATCTGTGGCAGGCATCCTCAGAGATTGTGAGGTCACAACCAATGGGATTTTGGCCTGTATCAATGGGAGTATAGTGTCTAGATCAGTGATGGGCAACCTTTTGAGCTTGGTGTGTCAAAATTTGCCAAAAACCTGAGTGGGGTGTCAACTTTGAGAAAAAAAAACATAATTTTGCAATATTTATAGTTTCAATAAGAAAAATGTATATTCCATGCTGAGTTATGGAGTGAACAATGCTCAAACGTGCAGATGTTAAATTTGTAGAGCCTTTTACAAATTTAAGGATGGAATTAGATGGGCTCTTATAAGGTGTACTTCTCTGTGTCTGCGTGTCAAAAATAGCCATGTGTGTCAGTGCTGACACGCGTGTCATAGGTTCACCATCATGGGTCTAGATCAACCTAGGCTGGTGGGGACAAGGGACAGGACCTTTTCTGTGGTGACCCCTCGGCTATGGAACTCTCTCCCAAGTGAAATTAGATCTGCTGCATCCCTCCTGACCTTTCAGAAACAAGGGAAATCCTGACTATAGGATCAGGCTTTTGTAGATTAGGTTGACTTGCTGATGTGACAACTTTTATAGAACTGACTGACTGCCCCTTGGATGATGATTGGATGATGATTCAAACTAATGACTGCTGACTAGGCTTGGGCGGTTTCGTTCGTTAATTTCATAATTCGTTATTAATTCGTATTTAAATTAGCTTACGATCCAATATTGAGCCATGCTGGAATAGTGTGAGGAGTAATTAAGATTCGAAACAATTTTTTCAATTTATTTCGTAATTATTTCGAAATTATTTCATAATTAATTCGTAATTATTTCATAATTATTTCATAATTATATTCGCATGTCTGGTGCAAGTTTTATAGTTGTTGTTTGTTTTATCACACCAACAGTCAACAACAGAGGGAGAGAGAAGCTTCAGAAGTTCCTCCTGTCCCATCTGGAGGTTTTTTTAGCATATTGCGCAATCTCGTCCGCCATTAACGAATCGATTCGTAAAAATTGGCATAGACACTGAGAACTGGGAAGCCCTGGCCTTTGAGTGCTCCAGCTGGAGGTCAGCTGTGACCAGCAGTGTTGTAGAATTGGAAGAGGCATGAATGGAGGGCAAAAGAGAGAAACATGCCAAGAGGAAGGCGTGTCAAGCCAACCCTGACCGAGACTGCCTTCCACCTGGAAACCGATTCTCACTGTGGGAGAATATGTGGGTCAATAATAGGGCTCCACAGTCACCTACAGACCCACCGCCACTTCACTGATCTTGAAAAACTATCCTACTCCGACAACGAGGGATTGCCTAAGTAAGCTTCCAAAGAAAGAGCCTCCACCACACTCCGGGGCAGAGAGTTCCACTGCTGAATGGCTCTCACAGTCAGGAAGTTCTTCCTCGTGTTTAGATGGAATCTCCTTTCTTGTAGTTTGAAGCCATTGCTCCATTGTGTCCTCTTCTCCAGGGAAGCAGAAAATAAGCTTGCTCCCTCCTCCTCCCTGTGGCTTCCTCTCACATATTTATACATGGCTATCATATCTCCTCTCAGCCTTCTCTTCTTCAGGCTAAACATGCCCAGCTCCTTAAGCCACTCCTCATAGGGCTTGTTCTCAAGGGTCTCTTCCAACTCTTTGATTCTATGATTCTATAAGTAAGTAAGTAGTAATCTGTTATTTGGAAACATGGATATTTGTCATTGTGTAAAATGAACTGGAAGACATGTCTCCGTGGGAGTCCCGGAGTTGCAAAGTCTTGGCTACAAAGCTTTGTGATCTCGCCAAGCAGATGTGTGACTGACAAGACACAGCCTGACATACTTCTCACTTCCCAAAGAGTGCAAAGGAATTTTAGCTTTGTTTCTATGGATGTGAGTCACTCAAGCTCCGGGCGGTCCTTGTAACAGCCTGTTTTCACTTTCAAATGTATTTTGCAAAAGATCCAGAAGCAAAGGACAAGAGGGATCCTCTCACCTCTGCAGGAGTCTACCGGATTCCATGCAGCTGTGGACAAGTCTACAGAGGGACCACCAAACGCAGCATCATTGACCAAACACGAATCTAGGAACATGAAAAGCACTGCAGACTAAGTCAACCAGAGAAGTCAGCCATAGCAGAGCACCTGGTGAACCAATCTGGACACAGCACATTATTTGAGAACACAGAAATGCTGGACCGCTCTCACAACCACCATGTCAGGCTACACAGAGAAGCCACTGAAATCCATACGCATATGGAAAATTTCAACAGAAAGGAGGAAACCATGATAATGAACAAAATCTGGCTACCAGTATTTAAAAAACTCTAAAATTATTACAGTAAATAAAGAACTAAACTCAAACACAAGGGAATTCCAGACAAGAAACAATCAGGAACACCTAATCACCTCTCAACAAAAGATTCCCCCAGGCAGTAACAAGGCACACCAAAAAACTGTCAGACCATGAAATGCTAATCAAGGTGGCCAAATGAAACATTCACACCTACCTCCAACACACAAGAGTTTTCCTCCCACCCTGGACCTTCCACAGATATATAAATCCAATTTTCCTAGTTTCCAGCAGACCTCACAACTTCTGAGGATGCCTCCCATATATGCAGGTTTTGTTTTGTTTTGTTTTTTTGTTGTGTCAGGAGCAAGTTGCTTCTGGTGCGAGAGAATTGGCCGTCTGCAAGGACGTTGCCCAGGGGATGCCTGGATGATTTGATGTTTTTATCATCCTTATGGGAGGCTTTTCTCATGTCCCCGCATGAAGAGCTGGAGCTGATAGAGGGAGCTCATCCACCTCTCATAGAATCATAGAATCAAAGAGTTGGAAGAGACCTCATGGGCCATCCAGTCCAGCCCCCTGCCAAGAAGCAGGAATATTGCATTCAAATCACCCCTGACAGATGGCCATCCAGCCTCTGTTTAAAAGCTTCCAAAGAAGGAGCCTCCACCACACTCCGGGGCAGAGAGTTCCACTGCTGAACGGATTCGAACCACTGCTGAACGGATTCGAACCTGATCTCCCCGGATTCGAACCTGCGACCTGTTGGTCTTCAGTCCTGCTGGCACAGGGGTTTAGCCCACTGCGCCACCGCGGGCTCCATAGATGCAGGTGAAACATCAGGAGAGAATGCTGCTGGAACATAGCCATACAGCTCTGAAATCACAGCAACCCAGTGGCCTGGCAGTTGCTTAACACTATATCCTAGGAAATGTGTTGGCGTGTCCTTCTCTGGAGGTTTTTCAACCAAAGCTGGATGGCCGTCTGTCAGGAGGGCTTTGCTTGTATAGAAGGGAGCTAGATTGGGTGGCTCTTGTGGTCTCTTACAAATCTCTATGGATCTATACATCCCAACCAGCTCTATCTGTCGAGGTGCTGGGACTGGGAAGAGATCTGAAATCAGTATTTTCAGGCCCAAGCGGGTTGATTTGGAAAGACTTAGTGTGCCAAATAGCCAGATTAGGACTCTGCACTTTGAATGTGGAAATGAAGCAGTTGCAGCAGAGGAGCTGCATGGTCCCAGCAATCAATGCTACAGCCATAACTCTGTTCCGACGCAGAGTTTAAGCCAAAGCAGACCAACCATCCCATCACATCAGCAGTACAGTTTACCAATCATGCTGAGCAGGACATTGACTCATGGCTGAGCTCAACTCCAGCAGTAATCCAATTTAGCGTCACAGGAAAGGGCGCCATCACTCACCAAGAGCAACATCCAGGCCTACTGAAATGAGAGCGCAATCAGGCTTTTAAATTGATTACAAAACATAAACATCCGATGAGTTGTTTTCTTATAGATCCAGAACCAATGTGTCCAACCGTCGGCTTAAGAGCATAGTGTACAGAACCAACAAGTTGTGGCATGTTCTTGGTGGTCTGGGGATCTCAAGCCACCTTGTCTCTCTCCTGAGGAACCTGTATAAGGACCAAGTCACAACAGTAAGGACTGACCATGGAAGAACAGACTGGTTCAAGATTGGGAAAGGCGTACAGCAGGGTTGTCTACTCTCACCCAACCTATTCAACTTGTATGCAGAACATACCATGCAATGTACGGGGCTTGATGAATGCAAGGATGGGGTAAACATTGCTGGAAGAAACATTAACAACCTTAGATATGCAGATGATACCCACTTTGATGGCCGAAAACAAGGAGAAACTGAGGAGCCTTATGACCAAGGTGAAAGAAAAGGTGCTGGTGTTATCCTTTGACCTGTGGGGTTCCACAGGGTTCTATACTGTCCCCCATGCTGTTTAATATCTACATGAAGCCGCTGGGTGAGATCATCCGGAGTTTCGGGGTGCGGTGTCATCTGTACGCAGATGATGTCCAACTCTGTCACTCCTTTCCACCTGCTACTAAGGGGGCCGTCGAGGTCCTGAACCGGTGCCTGGCCGCTGTAATGGTCTGGATGAGGGCGAACAAACTGAAATTAAATCCAGACAAGACAGAGGTACTCCTGGTCAGTCGCAAGGCCGAACAGGGTATAGGGTTACAGCCTGTGCTGGACGGGGTCGCACTCCCCTTGAAGGCGCAGGTTCGCAGCTTGGGTGTGACCCTGGATTCATCTTTGAGCCTGGATCCCCAGGTGTCAGGGGTGACCAGGGGAGCATTTGCACAGCTTCGGCTCGTGCGCCAGCTGCGCCCGTATCTTGGGAAGTCTGACTTGGCCACGGTGGTACACGCTCTGGTCACATCCCGCTTGACTACTGCAACGCTCTCTACGTGGGGCTGCCCTTGAAGACGGCCCGGAAGCTTCAGCTAGTCCAGCGCGCGGCAGCCATGTTACTAACGGAGCGGGACGCAGGGAGCACACAACGCCCTTGTTGTCCCAGCTCCACTGGCTGCCGATCTGCTACCGGGCCCAATTCAAGGTGCTGGTGGTATCCTACAAAGCCCTAAACGGTTCCGGCCCAAAATACCTTTCGGACCGCATCTCGGCCTATGAGCCCACGAGGGCCTTGAGATCGTCTGGGGAGGCCCTTCTCTCGATCCCGCCTGCCTCACAGGCACGTCTGGCAGGGACGAGAGAGAGGGCCTTCTCAGTGGTGGCCCCCCGGCTGTGGAACACCCTCCCTGTTGACATCAGACAGGCGCCCTCCCTTATGGCTTTTCGTAAGAGCTTAAAGACCTGGCTATTCGAGAAGGCATTTAATTGAGACCCACACGAATCTGGTAATGACATTTGGAACGGACTATGGATTATGAGATTGGCTATGATTCTATGTTGTGATGGCGCGGATCTATTAGTGTGATTTAGATTAATGTGTAATTCGGTTGTTGTTATATTGTATGTTTTTGTAGACTGTTTTTACATGTTGTACACCGCCGCGAGTCGCCCCAGGGCTGAGAGCGGCGGTCAACAAATGAAGTAAATAAATAAATAAATAAAGAAAAAGGTTCAAAAGCTGGCTTGCAGTGAAACATTACAAAAACCAAGATGATGGCCCCCAGACTGATTAATAACTGGGAAATAGAGGGAGAAACGTGGAGGCCGAGGGAGACTTTGTGTTTCTAGTGCAAAGATTACTGCAGACGCAGACTGCAGCCAGGAAATCAGGAGACGCTTTCTTCTTGGGAAGAGAGCAAGGACCAATCTCGATAATATAGTGAAGAGTAGAGACATCAGACTGGCAAGGAAGATCCGCATAGTGAAAGCAATGGTCTTCCCCTGGGAAAGGGCATGGCTGAACCATTGGACCTCCACAGTTGCACCCTGAATATACTCCTGACTAATTCGTGCTTTTGCTCCTGGCAGGGCGTTGCGGAGGCCGAACTGGGAAAAGACTTGAGCAGGTTCCTGAAGGCGATGGTGCGATCCAGCAAGAAGGAGGTTGGTCACCAATGTGGAATGTGGTTTCTGGTTCTTGGTGGTGGTCTTGAAGTTGTTGTGGTGGTCGTCACCTTCTTCTCCTTTTCCTTCTTCCTCCTTCTCCTCCGTCTCCTCTTCTCCTACTTCTCCCTCTCCATCCTCTTATCCTTCCTCCTCTTCTCCTTCGTCTTTCTCCTCTTCCTCCTCCTCTCCTTCTCCTTCTCTTTCTTTTCCTTCTTCCTCCTCTTCCTCTTCTTCTCTTTCTTCTCTTTCTCCTTATCCATCTTCTTCCTCTCCATCCTCTTCTCCCTCTTCCTCCTCTTCTCCTTCCTCCTCTTCATTCTCCTCTCCTTCTTCTCCTTCTCCCTCTCCATCCTCTTCTCCTTCCTCCTCCTCTTCTTCTCCTTCTTCTCATCTTCCTCCTCATCCTCTTCTTCTTCGTCTTCTTCTCATCTACCTTCTCTTTCTCCTCTCCTCCTCCTCCTCCTCCTTCTCCTCCTCCTTCTTTTCTTTCTTCCTTCTTTTCCTCTTCTCTTTCTTCTCTTTCTCCTTCTCCCTCTTCCTCTCCATCCTCTTCTCCCTCTTCCTCCTCTTCTCCTTCCTCCCCTTCATTCTCCTCTCCTTCTTCTTCTTCTCCCTCTTCTCCTTCTCCCTCTCCATCCTCTTCTCCCTCCGCCTCCTCTTCTTCTCCTTCTTCTCATCTTCCTCCTCCTCCTCCTCTTCTTCGTCTTCTTCTCATCTTCCTTCTCTTTCTCCTCTCCTCCTCCTCCTTCTCCTCCTCCTCCTTCTTTCTCCTCATCTTCTCCTTCTTCCCCTCCATCCTCTTTTCCCTTCTCCTTCTCTTCCCCTTCTTCTCCCTCTCCATCCTCTTATCCTTCCTCCTCTTCTCCTTCTTCTTTCTCCTCTTCCTCCTCATCTCCTCCTTTTCCAGATTTCATTACTACTAGCTCTTCTTCTCATTCTCATGCTTTCTCCTACTTCTCTCTATCTGAGCTTGTAGACTGGTCACTCATCATTCTCATCAATACTCTTCTACCTCATTCACATGTGTGTTTTGCCCTCTCCCTTCAGTATAATATTCTCCTCCTCTTCATTCCTCTTGTTCTCCCTCTTCTTTTTCCTCCTTTCTTCTTTTCCTTCTCCCTCCTCCTCTCTTCTCCTTCTCCTCCTCCTCTCTTTCTCCTCTTCTCCCCTCCTCCCTCTTCCTCATCCTCTTCTTCTTCTTCTTCCTCCTCTTTCTCTCCTCCTCCTCCTCTTCTCCTCTTCCTTTTTCTTCCTCTTCTTCTTCTTTCTTCTTCTTCTTTTCTTCTTCTCTTCTCTTTTTCTCTTCCTTCTCTTCTCTCCTCTCCTCTTCCCCTCTTCCTCCTCGTCTTCTTCTCTTCTTCCTCTCCATCCCCTTCTCCTTCCTTCTCCTCCTACTTCCTTCTCTTCCTCTTCTTCTTCTCATCTTCCCCCTCTTTCCCTTCTTTTCCCTCCTCCACCTCCTCTTCTTCTACTTCTTCTCGTCTTCCTCCTCTTTCTCTCCTCCTCCTCCTCCTTCCTCCTCCTCCTCTTCCTCCCCTCCTCCTCTTCCTCCTACTCTTCTTCCTCTTCTTCTCCTCTTCCTTCTTCTTCTTCTTCTTCTTCTTCTTCTTCTTGTCATCTTCCTTCTCTTTCTCCTCTCCTCCTCCTTCTTCCCCCTCTTCCTCCTCGTCTTCTTCTCCTTCTTCCTCTCCATCCCCTTCTCCTTCCTCCTCCTCCTACTTCCTTCTCTTCCTCTTCTTCTTCTCATCTACCCCCTCTTTCCCTTCTTTTCCCTCCTCCTCCTCCTCTTCTTCTACTTCTTCTCGTCTTCCTCCTTTTTTCTCTCCTCCTCCTCCTCCTCCTCCTGCTCCTCTTCCTCCCCTCCTCCTCCCTTCCTCCTCCTCTTCCTCTCCTCTTTTCTCCTTATCTTCCTCCTCTTTCTCTTCTCCTCCCCTCTTCTTCCTCTTCCTCTTCTCTTCTTCTCTCTTCTTCTCTTCTTCTTCCTCCTCTCTTCTTCCCCTCTTCCTCCTCTTCTCCTCCTCTTCCTCTCCCTCCTCCTCCTTCCTCTTCCTCTTTCTTCTCTTCCTCTTCTTCTCATCTTCCCCCTCTTTCCCTTCTTTTCCCTCCTCCTCCTCCTCTTCTTTGTCGTCATCATCGCCAAATTTTAGTAACTTTGCCATAAGAATATAATCAAGAGAGATGCATATGGAGTCTTAATCCAAAGTGAGCATCCCTAAACTGAAAATATGCACCGAATTCCAAACTCTCCAAAATCAGAAACTTTTTGCTACCATTTGCCGATTTCAGCCTTTCCCAGATGTCTTGCTTCATTCATATGTAGAACAGAAATATATTTGTAGAAAGGGCTCTCCCTTTTCTGGGCTCCTGCGCTAATCTGTAGTTCATTCTGTTTTTTTCTACTCCTTCCTCTCTATTCATGGGCTTTCCCCCTTATCTCCACGACCCTGAACCTTCAGATTTTAATTTTCCAAATGTGTATGTCACAATATATATATATTTATATCATAACTGGTATTCCTTCTGCCTCTCTTTCCAACACTCTCCTCACAGGACCAGATAAAGGGAGGTTCCGTTAACTTACTCAAAGTACGGGAACAAGGTACGAGACGGTGAGAGGAGGAGCGCCATTGCACGTGGTGTCCTAGTCCCTGGAGTGGCAGAAAACCAGCTGAGAAAGGCCTCCGTCTGACATCCTTTCTCATTGCAGTCTCCAAAGATCGAAAATGGACGTGGCATCTATGTTTAAATGTCCAAACGAAGTGGTTTTCTGCTGCTTTGGAGACTAGAACAAAGAACAGATGGGTTCAAATTGCAATTAAAGTATTTCATTTATATATTTATCGAGTCATCAGCAACAAGTCAATTATATTACATTTCTAACAGAACAAAGCAAACAAACAGACAAAATACAAAACATACAAAATACAGAATACAAAATGTGTGAGTTTGGTAGTGGATTAAATGTCCTTTGACCAGTATCTGGCCACTTGGAGTGCCTCTGGTGTTGCTGCAAGAAGGTCCTCCATTGTGCATGTGGCAGGGCTCAGGTTGCATTGCACCAGGTGGTCAGTGGTTTGCTCCTCTCCACACTCGCATGTCGAGGATTCCACTTTGTGGCCCCATTTCTGAAGGTTGGCTCTGCATCTCGTGGTGCCAGAGCACAGTCTGTTCAGCACCTTCCAAGTTGCCCAGTCCTTTGTGTGCAAAGGGGGGAGTCTCTCTTTTGGTATCAGCCATTGGTTGAGATTCTGGGTTTGAGCCTGCCACTTTTGGACTCTCGTTTGCTGAGGTGTTCCAGTGAGTGTCTCTGTAGATCTTAGAAAACCACAGAAGCAATTAAAGTAATTCCGCTTGAGTATTAGGAAGTACTTTATGAGTGTTGGAGCCCCCGGTGGGGGCTGCATCTATGGCAGGCATCCTCAGAGGCTATGAGGTCTGTTGGAGACCCATTTTAGCTGCACTTCAACATATGTAAACATTAACTGGCGCTCCTTACAGAGAGAGGTCAACCCTCCTGTTTAAGGAGCTCCATTGGCTGCCGTTCATCTTCCGGTCCCAATTCAAGGTGCAGGTGCTTACCTACAAAGCCCTAAACGGTTTGGGACCCGCCTACCTGCGTGACCACATCTCCATATATGAACCCACACATTCCCTTCGATCATCTGGAGAGGCCCTGCTCACGATCCCACCTGCGTCACAGGCGCGTTTGGTGGGGACGAGGGACAGGGCCTTCTCTGTGGTGGCCCCCCGACTCTGGAACTCTCTCCCCAAGGACATCAGACAAGCCCCAACCCTGGCTGTCTTTAGGAAGAGCCTGAAGACCTGTTCCAGTGTGCGTTTCCAGAATAGGAAGCTCCTGGCATCAAGTCCCAAATGCACGTTGTTAGAGATTCAGGATTATTTGCACATTTATTATTTTATTTATTATTTCAGTTGCTTCTACCCCGCCCTTCTCACCCCGAAGGGGACTCAGGGCGGCTTACAAAAGCAAGGCACAATTTGATGCCCGCATCATATAACAACAATAAGACAAAATAACATCCATTAACAGAAAACAGCAATACTAGCAATACATCAATTAACAGAAACAACAATTCTTGCAAGGCGAAAACAACCATAAAACCAGTAAAAGCAATAAAACCAATACAAACCATTTCTCCTCATTGACGGTCAGCGTTTCGCAATCTCATAGTTCAAAATTCCAATTCCACAATTGTCAGTCCTGTCAGTCCTATCCATCTGGTTGTCCATATCTAGTTGTCAGATTGCCCGAAGGCCTGGTCCCACAACCACGTCTTTACCTTCCTCCTGAAGGAGAGGAGGGATGTAGATGCCCTAATTTCCCCCCGGGAGTGAGTTCCACAGGTGAGGGGCCACCACTGAGAAGGCCCTGCACATTGCACCTACCTCCAAATACCTCTACATTTCACTTGTCAAGTCTAGCACTTTTAAATTTTGTTACTTGGCCCGGCCCTTGGTTTTAAATGCGTCACTGTGTCATTGTTTTTTTTATTATTCTAATGCTTTGCTTGATGTTTTTATTTGCTTATGAATTTTATTGTGTATGTGTATGTTATTGGAGCCCCCAGTGGTGCAGTGGGTTAAAGCACTGAGCTGCTGAGCTTGTTGATCGAAAGGTCGCAGGTTCGATTCCGGGGAGCGGCGTGAGCTTCCGCTGTCAGCCCTAGCTTCTGCCAACCTAGCAGTTCGAAAACATGCAAATGTGAGTAGATGAATAGGTACCGCTCCGGCGGGAAGGTAACGGCGCTCCATGCAGTCATGCCGGCCACATGACCTTGGAGGTGTCTACGGACAACGCTGGCTCTTCGGCTTAGAAATGGAGATGAGCAGCACACCCCAGAGTCAGACATGACTGGAATTAATGTCAGGGGAAAACCTTTACCTTTATCTTTATGTTATTGTTTGTTGGCGGCCTTGGCCTTTGTAAGCTGCATCGAGTCCTTCGGGAGATTTTGTGGGGTATAAATAAAGTTAATAAAAATAATAAATAATAGACTATTGTGCATAGATCCAAAGCCAGATAATCAGATATTATATTCCTCAATCCAAAGCCAATTCAAACTGTATTGCACAGTTTGAATTGGGGCCAACCGAATCCCACTAGGCAGGCAGTTCCACGAGGACATTATGCATTTGGCCTTCGAAAGTGCAGTGCTATCCTTTCCTCGTTTGAAGAGCCACAAAGATTGCCTCCACGCACTTCTCACAATGCCTTTCCCCCTGCGCTTTTTGCACCTTCCTTCGCATTAATGCAGCGCAATTTCGGAATTATTCAGGGAGAGGAGAACAGTGTGTGTCTCACACCCAAGCGACAGTTTGCAAATTGATGCAAATAGATAGACCACAACTAAGATTAAGCCAGGGGCTGCTGTGGTTTTTAGCTTGAATCTGTCTTTATTGATTTAAACTAGAATTTAACTGTGAGTTTTTGATACTGTTTACATTTAATTCTGTTTTAATCGTTGTATATTTGTATATTTTAAATGGTATGCTGAAGCTTTTACGTTAAGCCGCTTTGAGAGATAAAGCACAATATAAATAATAATAATAATAATAATAATAATAATAATAATAATAAGTTTGTTGAAAATGAAAACTATAAAATCATAGAATCAGAGTTGGAAGAGACCTCCTGGGCCATCCAGTCCAACCCCATTCTGCCAAGAAGCAGGAATATTGCATTCAAATCACCCCTGACAGATGGCCATCCAGCTTCTGTTCAAAAGCTTCCAAAGAAGGAGCCTCCACCACACTCCGGGGCAGAGAGTTCCACTGCTGAACGGCTCTCACAGTCAGGAAGTTCTTCCTCATGTTCAGATGGAATCTCCTCTCTTGTAGTTTGAAGCCATTGTTCCGCGTCCTAGTCTCCAGGGAAGCAGAAAACAAGCTTGCTCCCTCCTCCCTGTGGCTTCCTCTCACATATTTATACATGGCTATCATATCTCCTCTCAGCCTTCTTCTTCAGGCTAAACATGCCCAGCTCCTTAAGCCGCTCCTCATAGGGCTTGTTCTCCAGCTCCTTGCAGAAACAAGCTTGCTCCCTCCTCCCTGTGGCTTCCTCTCACATATTGATACATGGCTATCATATCTCCTCTCAGCCTTTTCTTCAGGCTAAACATGCCCAGCTCCTTAAGCCACTCCTCATAGGGCTTGTTCTAGTCTCTAAGGAAGCAGAAAACAAGCTTGCTCCCTCCTCCTCCCTGTGGCTTCCTCTCACATATTTATACATGGCTATCATATCTCCTCTCAGCCTTCTCTTCTTCAGGCTAAACATGCCGCTCCTCATAGGGCTTGTTCTCCAGACGTTTGATCATTTTAGTCGCCCTCCTCTGGACACATTCCAGCTTGTCAATAATAATAAGTTAATTCACTGATCTTCACCTAGCCATTCTTTTTGAATTGAGATATAACTAGTTCCTTCAATCTCCAAGCATAGAACGTTCTTGCGGTTGTTATCAGCTATTGTTATGATCTTCCTTTTTCTTTCTTTCTAGTTGGTCATTCAGCATTCCCGACAAACAAAACTCTGTTCTGTATTGTCGAAGCCTTTCATGGCCGGAATCACTGGGTTGTTGTAGGTTTTTCGGGCTATATGGCCATGTTCCAGAAGCATTCTCTCCTGATGTTTCACCTACATCTATGGCAGGCATCCTCAGAGGTTGCGAGGTCTGTTGGAAATTAGGAAAATTGGGTTTATATATCTGTGGAAGGTCCAGGGTGGAAGGAAAACTCTTGTGTGTTGGAGCTAGATGTGAATGTTTCAATTGGCCACCTTGATTAGATTATTCCAAAAGTATAACATTAAAGCTTTCCACATTTGCAGTTGCAGCCCAAAAAAGTCCACAACGGAGACTAGAAATGGAAATGGAAACAGTTTGGGGTGATACAAATCAGACATCGTTACTGTTATAATTAAAGTTTTTTATTAGTTGAAATACAACAAGATGAGTCTACGGCAAACAAGATCACTCTGCTGGTTGTTGTACTGGATCACACGTCGGACACTTCCCAAGTGCCTAGGACTGTGTGATGTATTGGCAAATAATGCATGCAGATCCCTGTAGGGTGGCCTTTTGCAGCTGGCAGATGGTAATTTTGTCAGCGTCGATTGTGTTTAAGTGCAGGCCAATGTCTTTAGGCACTGCACCCAGTGTGCCCGTCACCACTGGCACCACTTTGACTGGCTTGTGCCAGAGTATTGCAGTTTGAGCTTTAAATCCTCATATCATGTCAGCTTTTCCAGTTGTTTCTCTTCAATCCTGCCATCACCTGGGATTGCAACATCGACAATCCATACTTTGTTTTTCAACACAATCATGAGGTCAGGAGTCTTGTGCTCCAAAACTCTGTCTGTCTGAATTCGAAAGTCCCAGTCTTTAACTTTTTCCAGCTTGTGATGCCACCAGTTCTTTGTCGCAGGCAGATGGGATTTGTGGCACAAGTTCCAATGAATCATCTGAGCAACGGTGTTGTGCCTCTGCTTGTAGTCTATCTGCGCGATCTTCTTGCAGCAGCTGAGGATGTAGGAGCCCCCAGTAGCACAGTGGGTTAAACTCCTGTGCCGGCAGGACTGAAGACCGACAGGTCGCAGGTTCGAATCCGGGGAGAGGCGGATGAGCTCCCTCTATCAGCTCCAGCTCCTCATGAGAGAAAACTCCCACAAGGATGATAAAACATCAAATCATCCGGGCTTCCCCTGGGCAACGTCATTGCAGACAGCCAATTCTCTCACACCAGAAGCGACTTGCAGTTTCTCAAGTCGCTCCTGACACGACCAAAAAAAAAAAAGAGCTGAGGATGTGATCTATTGTTTCATCTGTTTCCTTGCAGAGTCTACATTTGGGATCTGTTGTTGACTTTTCAATTCTGGCTTGTGCCAGAGTCTTTGCACAAACAAACAGAGCCTATTATTATTATTATTATTATTATTATTATTATTATTATTATTAATTATTGTATGGTCGAAGGCTTTCATGGCCGGGATCACTGGGTTGTTGTAGGTTTTTCCGGGCTATATGGTCATGTTCTGGAGCATCCTCTGAGGATGCTTGCCATAGATGCAGGCGAAACATCAGGAGAAAAATTGCCTCCAGAACATGGCCATATAGCCCGGAAAAACCTACAACAACCTATTATTATTATTATTATTATTATTATTATTATTATTATTATTATGTGACTGCTACTGTAATTTTAAAGGCTCAGTATATAGAATAAGTTTCAATGTGTATATTGGAAAGTGCTTATTGTACTTTTAAAGGTTGTATATTATTTGGTGCCATGGTCTATGGCTGGTACAATTCATTCATTCATTCATACTGGGACTAATTCTTTTGGCCAAATTGCTTTGGTGAAATGACCCCTTTCCATTTTGCAGGAGGTCTGCTGGTGGGAGTTCCCGAAGACCCTCCGCCAAGTTCTCTCCTCCCAGAGCCTGTCCTCCAGTACTTCGTCCAGCAGTTTAGAAAATCTGGATTAAGGTAAGAGATGGATTCGAGAGGGGAATTAGATGTTATTCTTTCTGTGTTGGTGATCAAACTGCAGGAAAAGAGATTCCACCTGTGGAGCCCTGTTCTTGATCCGCATGTTCTCTCACAGTGAGGACATTGGTTTCCAGACGGAAGGCAATCCTGGTCAGGGTTGGCTTTATGCTCCTTATTCCTCTTGGCACATTTCTCCCTTTCACCCTCCATTCATGCCTCTTTGAATTCTGCAGCAGCTGACCTCCAGTTAGAGCACTCAAGGGCCAGGTCTTCCCAGTTCTCGGTGCCTATGCCACAGATTTTAAGATTGGCTTTAAGCCCATCTTCAAATATCTTTTCTTGACCACCAACACTACGTTTACTGTTCTTGAGTTGGGAGTAGAGCAACTGCTTTGGGAGACAGTGATCTTTGAGCATTCGCACAGTGTGGCATTCAGTCCAGCGGAGTTGATGACGGAAGGACCATCGCTTCAATGCTGGTGGTCTTTGCTTCTTCCAGCATGTTGACATTTGTCCGCCTGTCTTCCCAAGAAATTTGCAGGATTTTTCAGAGGCAGCGCTGATGGAGTTGCGTATGACGTCTGTAGACAGTCCACGTTTCGCAGGCGTAGAGCAGAGTTGGGAGGACAGTAGCTTTATGAACAAGCACCTTGGTCTCCCTACGGATGTCCCGTTCCTCAAACACTCTCTGCTTCATTCAGAAAAATGCTGCTCTCACAGAGCTCAGGCGGTGTTGTATTTCAGTGTCAATGTTGACTTTTGTGGAGAAGTGTCTGCCAAGGGAGCAGAAATGGTCAACATTTTCTAATGTTACACCATTAAGCATAATTTTTGGCATTGTCTGGTGACTCCTGAAAGAGCACTTTGGTCTTCTCAGTGTTCAATCACAGGTGGAGCTTCTGTTATGAATTGTGGGAGTTGGAATCCAAAACACCGGGAGGGCCCAAGTTTGCCCATACCTGGCTTATATGCATTTATGAGAGTCAATTTTAGGAACTCTTTGAACAAAATTTGGTAATTTCCTTTTTTCATCTTTTATTTGAAATGTATTACCTGCCTCTTTTAACTTTACCTGTGCATCCGACTTATTCTTCCTCCTGCTTCCTACCATGTAGCAGCACTGGCTACTCTGCACTCCTGCTCTGCTATAGATGCCATATATCCCTATACAAATGAGCATTTATTGATTGTCTCAGGATTAAGAGAGTGTTTGTTGTGGGAAGGGCGGTGTAATGGATGCAGTTGTCTGATGCTCAGCAGTGGTGCATCTGTTTATCTCTTCTTTCCCTTTTCAGGGGGCCACTCAACTGGTACCGGAACATGGAGGCAAATTGGCGCTGGCTTGGCTCTGTCTACGACAGAAAGGTACAAGCTGGTGACCTTTTTGAAAGGCGCCATGAGAGCCATGTGTAAATATGTGAAAGGGCATCATAAGGAGGAGGGAGCAGGCTTGTTTTCTGCTGCCCTGGAGACTCGGACTCAGTGGAACCATGGCTTCAAATGGCAGGAAAGGAGATTCCACCTGAACATTAGAACTTCCTGATTGTAAAAAGAGCTGTTCAGCAGTGGAACTCTCAGCCTCGTGGTGAAAGCTTCTTCCTTGGAGGCTAGATGGCCATCAGTCAGAGGTGCCTCGATGGTGCTTTTCCTGCAAAATGGCAGATTGGGGTTGGACTGGATGATCTTTTGGATGTCTCTTCCAACAATTGTGGCAGTGGCTGATCATTTGTGTAAATTTTGAACATGGATGGTGCGAGCACGCTCCCCTGAGGCAGGCCGTTCTTCTGTTTCCGCCATCTGCTTCTCTGGCCCTGGGACTCAACAAAGAAGCTCCTGTTTTGTAGCAGGTTTCCTACGAGGCGGGTGAGGTGGTCGTCCTTTGTGATATTATACATTTTTCTCAGGAGGAGGCAGTGGTTCACAGTCTCATAGGCTGCTGACAAGTCTATGAAGACAGCTCCTGTGATCTGCTGCCTTTCAAAGCCATCTTCTATGTGCTGAGTCAGGTTCAACACTTGCGATGTGCAGCCCAAAAAGACTGCAAGAAGTACCCAACCATGGTGACTTGAGTTTGTTTGTGGCTACTGCAACTCCATTCCCAAATTGTATTTATTTATTTATTTATTTTATACATTTGTACCCCATCTTTCTCACTCCTCTGGTGTGGGGAGGGGGACAACTCAGGGCGGCTTCACAACAAGCACTCATTTGATGTTGCACTCCAGGACAGGAAAAGCCCTCTGACTTTAAACACCACACCGTTGGATGGGGAAACAATCCTTTTATTGGAGATAATTAAAAAGCAGTAAAGTAAAAAGCACTTTAAAGAAATAGGTAAATCCAATTAGGTAAAAAGAGAAGCAGGAACAAAGTAGTCCAGAGTAATAGTCCAGCAAAATCCATAAATAAAATGCAAGAAATCAGGAAACATGAATCTAAGGCAGGGTGAAGCCACTGAAATAGTTCCATACTTTGGCTTAAGGATGGAGACTGTAGTCAAGAAATCAGAAGAAGACAAGGCTAGGGAGGAGTAGCTGTGGAGGAACTAGAAAAGATCCTGATGTGTAAAGATATATGAGATATATTGCTCATCTCTGCACTAACTCATGGCTGAGCCCTGCTGCAAGTGGTTTCTATCATCATCATCATCTCATCTCAATGCTTCTCTAAATCCACAGATCAGGGTTCCGGCGCTGATGGTTACTGCTGGGAAGGACATCGTTCTCCGTCCAGAGATGAGCAAAGGCATGGAGGAAAAGGTGAGGTGGGCTCTTCTTTCTGCAGTACACAGGGCAGGTGGCTCTTATTTCTGTTGCCTTAATTGCACAAAGGAAAACAAAGCAGCAGTAGTAGTTTTAGCAGATCAGAAGCTCCTTGAGCACAGCAGTAGAGTGAACGAGCTCCAGCCGTTACAGGGCCGGGTTTTAGCACAGCTGGTTAATCAATCGAAAGGTTACCAATCAAAAGGTTAGCAGTTTGAAGCCCAGTCAGGGTGAGCACCTGACTTTCAGCCCAGCTTACTGTTCACCTAAGCCAGTGGTTCTCAACCTTCCTAATGCCGTGACCCCTTAATACAGCGGCTGAGGGAGGAAAGGATGGGGCCCGAGGCCAGGAATTGTGGGAGTTGTAGTCCAAAACACATGAAGGGCTGAAGTTTGCCCATGTCTGATATAGATAAATAGATACTGAGTGCAATGCGGGAAATGTTTTCCCTGCCAGCTGACTCATCTGCCTATGATGAGGACTATCAACTTGTGCAGAATGTGGCTGATTTCCAACCATTTCCACATAGCTTCCACATGGTTAGATTACTGTAATTTGCCATACTTGGGGCCACCCTTGAAGACTGCCTGGAAACCTTTGGTTCGGAACACTGATGTCAGTGTATTGTATAGAAGAAAGAAATTGGATCTGATACTGCTTAGCATACAGGAAGATATTTGCCTCTCCCACTATGCAAATGATCCCACATAGTCTCCACATGGTTAGATTACTGTAATTTGCCATACTTGGGGCTGCCCTTGAAGACTGCCTGGAAACCTTTGTTTCAGAACACTGATGTCAGTGTATTGTATGGAAGAAAGAAATTGGATCCGATAATGCTTTAGCGTACAGGAAGATATTTGCCTCTTCCACTATGCAGATGATCAGGTGTTTACAATCTTTCTTTCTCTCTACCTATAGATTCCAGATCTGACCCGTGGGCACATCGAAGACTGCGGACACTTCACACAAATGGAGAGGTAACAATTAAGCTCTGATGACTGGGATATATAGATACTTACTTACTTAGGCGATCCCTTGTTGTCCAAGGATGATGGTCCTCCAAGTGTAGTGTCCTGGCGGTGGGTCCATAGGGGGCTGTGGAGCCCTATTCTTGACCCGCATCTTCTCCCGCAGTGAGGGCATTGGTTTCCATGTGGAAGGGGGTCCCGGTCGGGGTTGGCTTGACGCACCTTCCTCTTGGCACGTTTCTCTCTTTTGCCCTCCATTCGTGCCTCTTCAAATTCTACAGCACTGCTGGTCACAGCTTACCTCCAGCTGGAGCGCTCAAGGGCCAGGGCTTCCCAGTTCTCAGTGTCTATGCCAGAGTTTTTAAGGTTGGCTTTGAGCCCATCTTTAAATCTCTTTTCCTGTCCACCAACATTCCGTTTTCCGTTCTTGAGTTCAGAGTAGAGCAACTGCTTTGGGAGACGGTGGTCGGGCATCGGGACAACGTGGCCAGTCCAGCGGAGTTGATGGCGGAGGACCATCACTTCAGTGCTGGTGGTCTTTGCTTCTTCCAGCACGCTGACATTTGTCCGCTTGTCTTCCCAAGAGATTTGCAGGATTTTCAGAGGCAGCGCTGATGGAATCGTTCCAGGAGTTGCATGTGACGTCTGTAGACAGTCCATGTTTCGCAGGCATATAGCAGGGTTGGGAGGACAATAGCTTTATAAACAAGCACCTTGGTATCCTTACGGATATCTCCGGTCCTCAAACACTCTCTGCTTCATTTGGAAAAATGCTGCACTCGCAGAGCTCAGGCGGTGTTGTATTTTGGTGTCAATGTTGACTTTTGTGTAGATGTGGCTGCCAAGGTAGCGGAAATGGTCCACATTTTCTAATGTTACACCATTAAGTTGTATTTCTGGCATTGGAGAGAGATTGGCCGTTGACCTATGGAAGAGCACTTTGGTTTTCTCGATGTTTAATGACAGGGCGAGCTTCTTGTATGCTTCTGCAAAGATACACGCACCCACACACAGTAGGGTCTCGTTTATCCAACGTAAATAGGCTGGCAAAAACAAGACTCTGCTGTATTTTTATAAAAACTATGGAATAACGAACCAAGAACTATTCCATTCAGTGTCTGTCCATCCTTTAAGAAAACAGAATACTCCACCAGATTCCCAGGCACTCTATATTCCATTAGGGTTGGGACCCCCAAAGGTCATCCATTCCAGCCTGTTTTATGTCAAGCAGGAAGGCACAATCCAAGCCCTCCTGACAGGTGACTATCTAGGCTCTGATCAAAAATCTCAAGAGAAGGAGACTCCGCTGGACTCCCAGGCAGTCTATATTTCACTAGAGTTGGAAGAGACCCCCCAAAGGGCATCCAATCTGATCCCCTCTTGCCATTGTAGGAAGACACAACCAAAGCCCTCCCAACAGAGGGACATCCAGCTTACAAAGAAATGTCCTTCACACTACAGAGTTGGTACAATTTCTCCAAAGACAGTGAGATATAGATATAGATCAGTGTTTCTCAACCTTCCTAATGCTGCGACCCCTTAGTACAGTTCCTCATGTTGTGGTGACCCCCAAACGTAACATTATTTTCATTGCTACTTCACAACTGTAATTGTGCTCCTGTTATGAATCGTAATGTAAACATCCAATATGCAGGGTATATTTGCATTCACTGGACAAAATTGGGCACAAATACCCAATAATACAACCAAATTTGAATACTGGTGGGGTTGTTGAGGAGATTGATTTTGTCATTTGGGAGTTGTAGTTGCTGGGATTTATAGTTCACCTACAATCAAAGAGCATTTTGAACCCCACCAATGATGGAACTGAACCAAACTTGAAACACAGAACTCCCATGACCAACAGAAAATACTGGAAGGGTCTGGTGGACATTGACCTTGAGTTTGGGAATTGTAGTTCACCTACATCCGAGAACACTGTGGGATCAAACAGTGATAGATCTGGACCAAACTTGGCACAAATACTCAATATGCCCAAATGTGGAGTTTGGGGGAAATAGACCTTGACATTTGGGAGTTGTAGTTGCTGAGCTCTGTGGACTCACACAATGTTTGATCTGGACCAAATTTGGCACTAATACACAATATGCCCAAAGGTGAACACTGGTGGAGTTTGGGGGAAATAGAATCTTGACATTTGGGAGTCGTAGTTGCTGGGATTTATAGTTCACCTACAATTAAAGACCATTCTGAACCCCAGCAATGATAGAATTGAACCAAACTTCCCACACAGAACCCCACGACCAACAGAAAATACTATGTTTTCTGATGGTCTTTGGTGACCCCTCTGACATCCCCTCGCGACCCCCACAGGAGTCCTGACTCCCAGGTTGAGACTGATATAGATAGATTGCCAAAATAAAGGTGCATTCAAACTCCAGACTTTCCAGCTGTGTGCTGCATGAAAGCCTCCACCCCTCGCTCCCCTCCTTTTCATTTGTCTTTGGTAAAATGCCTTCCTATTGTATAATGTCATAGCAGCTGTCGAAAAGTGCGGAGCAGGGAATTGCAAAAGGCCCCTCTCCTTAAATAAGCCACCGGTGAAATTACATTTCTGCCATTTCCTGGAAGAAGGGATGATAAATTCTTGCAGGGAATGGAATAATAAAAATCGGGGTGTTGTTTTGGTTGCAAAAGGAAACTCAAAGCCATCTTTCTTCCCAACGAACAAACGCCTCCGTTTTATAACGGGGTGTAAAGTCTCTCCCGTTGCACGACAAGGCAATAATATTCCTCTGGATTTATGGGCCGTGAACGGGGAGGAAGGCAGGAGAAGCAAAGGGCAGCCAGCTGGGTTGAAATACCAGCGCTCCCATTCCAGATGAAGGCAATTGAAGCGTGGTTCATAGTGGGAGAGAGAACAAAAGTCCAGATTTTAGAAGACCAACATCTAATTTTTGGACTAAATGCCTTCAAAGTTTGGACTAGTATCCAGCATGGAGTTTCCTTACCCTAAGAGCATAGGGGCGATGGCCACATCTCAAATAGATCTAGATACTAGGGTTGAATGAAAAGTAATGCCTCCACCTTCGCAACTCCTCAACAGATGGCAGTACTGGTATGCGGCAGGTACTGGCTTGTTCAGTAGACTCTCTTCTACAGTTCTATTTTGATGGGAAGCCTTAGCATTGAACTGTTGTGTTGTCAAAACGTGAAGTATGGAACCCTGCGCAGACATGCATGTTGCGACTTAAGCAACGTGTATGTTGAAGGTGTCACCTCAACATCTTTAAACTTACTTGTCCAACGACGCACAGCACTCACATCAACACAAACACCATCAACAGCTTGCATTCTCTGATCCTTTGGGATGACACCTTCTGCTGTCAAGAATTCAATGACTGCACATTGCTTAAGTCACATTGACCGACCGTCTGTGCAGGGTTCCATACTTCACACTTTAACAACACCACCATTCAATGCTAAGGCTTCCTGCCAAAATGGAACTGTAGAGGATAGTCTACTGAACAAGCCAGTACCTGCCACATACCAGTACTGCCATCTGTTGAGGTGTTATGAAGGTGGAGGCATTATTTTTCATTCAACCTTCGTAGATAGATCTATCTATTTAGGATAGATGAATGAAAGGGGAAAAATGAGCTCTATATCAGATAGAAGGATGGAAAGATTTATCAATCTAGGATGGATGGAAGGAAAGGAAAGGAAAGGAAGGGGAAGGGGAGGGGAGGGGAGGGGAGGGGAGGGAAGGGAAGGGAAGGGAAGGGAAGGGAAGGGAAGGGAAGGGAAGGGAAGGGAAGGGAAGGGAAGGGAAGGGAAGGAATGCAAGAAAGCAAGCAAGCAAGATTACTGTGTTCCTAATCACAGATAGATCTATCTATCTATGTAGAATGAATGGATGGATGGAAGGAAGGGAAGGAAGGAAAATAAGAAAGAAAGCTATACAGACAGACAGACAGATACTATACGATACAGGGAGGGAGGGAGGGAGGGAGGGAGGGAGGGAAGGAAGGAAGGAAGGAAGGAAGGAAGGAAGGAAGGAAGGAAGGAAGGAAGAAAGGATCACTGCGTCCCTGATCCCAGATCTATCTATCTATCTATCTTATCTATCTATCTATCTATCTAGAATGGATGGATGGATGGAAGGAAGGAAGGAAGGGAGGAAGGAAGGAAGCTAGACAGATAGATAAATAGGATAGATGGATGGATGGAAAGATTTATCAAGCTATTAAGGAAGGAAGGAAGGAAGGAAGGAAGGAAAGGAAAGGAAGGAAGGAAGGAAGGAAGGAAGGAAGGAAGAAGGAAAGGAAGGAAAGGAAGAAAGAAAAAGAAGAGGAGAAGGAGGAGAAGGAAGGAAGGAATGAAGGAAAAGAAAGGAAGGAAGGAAGGAAGGAAGGAAGGAAGGAAGGAAGGAAGGAAGGAAGGAAGTGAAGGATAAAGAAAAGAGAGAAGGAAAGAGGATAGTGAAGGAAGAGCGGAGCAGGGCTGGGAGGAAGGAAGGAAGGAAGGAAGGAAGGAAGGAAGGAAGGAAGGAAGGAAGGAAAGATAGATGCATAGAAGTGAAGACCTGCTTAATTTGTTGGATGGATGGATGGATGGAAGGAAGGAAGGAAGGAAGGAAGGAAGGAAGGAAGGAAGGAAGGAAGGAAGGAAGGAAGGAAGGAAGTTAGACAGATAGATAAATAGGATGGATGGATGGATGGAAAGATTTATCAAGCTATTTAGGATGGATGGATGGATGGATGGATGGATGGAAGGAAAATCAGTGTCTCTAATCCCAGATAGATCTATCTTTCTAGAATGGATAGATGGATGGACATGAGAGAAGCCTCTCATAAGGATAATAAAACATCAAAAACATCTGGGCGTCCCCTGAGCAACGTCCTTGCAGACAGCCAATTCTCTCACACCAGAAGCAACTTGTAGTTTCTCAAGTCGCTCCTGACATGAAAAAACAAAAACAAAACCAGCCAAGGCTTGAAAAAATTTCAAAAACAAATCCTTTTAAAACCCTTTGGTTTCACATCTTATATAATGGATGCCATATTGTATATCATGTATATTGTATCTAATGAGACTTGAACGTCCACAGATTTTGGTATCCATTGGAGTCCTGGACACAGACCTAAAGAGATGTTAATGTTTGAAGCCCTGTGTAAACCCAGTCCATCCATTCCATTAATTAACCTCCTCCCTTCTCCAATTTCATTTTTAAAGGAGCAGCAGCAGCAGCCGTAAACAGCTCATTTGCATAATCATCTCTGCTGTGCATAAATGTCCCGTTAATGATCTCTCTTACCTCCATGTGGCATATGTCAAAACCGCCTGCACTTTGCATAATAATAATCATAATAAAACTGTAACATATTGTTACTTACTCATTTGCTTAACAACGCTTCTCGGGCCTAAATGCAATTGCTATTCCTGATTAGGAGCAAAGCCCAGGGAATATATTGCTAAATGGTTTTCTGTCACTTATGTAAATTGCATTGATTTTAATGGTCTGTTCTCATTTGGATTAGTCATTGGCTTTAGACTAGGATGGGGGTCATACATACGTTAGATGATGTGCAACTGCAACTCCCATCAGCCTCAGTTAGCATGAGCAATGGAGATGAATGCTGGGAACTGCATAATTTGCTTAATAAACACATTATTGTGGCTGTTGTTGCTGCTGTTATATAAACATAACAACAACAACGTATTGTCGAAGGATTTCATGGCCGGAATCACTGGGTTGTTGTAGGTTTTTTTGGGCTATATGGCCATATTCTAGAGGCATTCTCTCCTGACGTTTCGCCTCTTTTATCCCCTCATTATGCTATCCCAAGCACTTAGAAATTGGTTTTGCTTTAGTTGAGATTCCCTTATTTTTTCTGTTGGAGCCTGGCAGAACGCTGAAGCCACTCTTCGGCTTGTCTGTTTTGACTAATCTCCTGCTATCTATCTATTTACTTGTTAACTTTTGCATCTGGCCCAGGTGCCAAGTTGTTTTCAGGCCCCAAATCCTGGGAACTCTGGTAGCAATTCAGGGAGCACACCATCATCCCCACACCCCTCAGGGACATTCTCATGGGAAACTACACTTCGAACAGGGATCTCCTGGTCATTCTCTGCATCAATATCATTGATCAAACCATTGCCATCTTGAAACTCATTGACATCACTCCCCACATCCAAAGTACCCTGATCCTGAAACACAATCACAGGCTGAGCTCCAACACTTTAGTCGGTGTCCGACTCAGGGGGTGGTGCTCATTTCCATTTCGAAGTTGATGAGCCGCCGTTGTCCATAGATGCCTCCAAGGTCATGTGGCCAGCATGACTACATGGAGCACCATTACCTTCCCGCAGAAGCGGTACCTATTCATCTACTCCAGTGTTTCTCAACCTTCCTAATGCCGCGACCCCTTAGTACAATTCTTCATGTTGTGGTGACCCCCAACCATAACATTATTTTCATTGCTACTTCATAACTGTAATTTTGCTACTGTTATGAATCATAATGTAAATATCTGATATGCAGGATGTATTTTCAAATCCCAAATACCCAATATGCCCAAATTTGAATACTGGTGGGGTTGGGAGGGGATTGATTTTGTCATTTGGGGGCTGTAGTGGCTGGGATTTATAGTTCACCTACAATCAAAGAGCATGCTGAACACCACCAATGATGCAGTTGAACCAAACTTGGCACACAGAACTCCCATGACCAAGAGAAAATACTGGGAGGATCTAGTGGACATTGATCTTGAATTTTTGGAGTTGTAGTTCATCTACATCCAGAGAGCACTATGGACTCAAACAATGATGGATCTGGACCAAACTTGGCATGAATACTCAATATGCCCAAAAGGTAAACACTGGAGGAGTTTGAAGAAAATAGACCTTAACATTTGGGAGTTGTAGTTGCTGGGATTTATAGTTCACCTACAATGAAATAACATTCTGAACCCCACCAACGATAGAATTGGACCAAAATTCCCAAAAACCCTTATGACCACAGAAAATACTGTTTCCTGATGGTCTTTGGTGACCCCTCTGACACCCCCACAGGGGTCCCGACCCCCAGGTTGAGAAACACTGATCTACTCACATTTGCATGTTTTCGAACTGCTAAGTTGGCAGAAGCTGGAGCTAACAGCAGGAGCTCACCCCCACTCCCCGGATTCAAACCGTTGACCTTTCAGTCAGCAAGTTCAGCATCTCAGCGGTTTAACCTCCTGTGCCGCCAAGGGCTCCCTAAAAACCCTATCTAGATATGTAACACTGTTCTTTTCTTTGCAGGCCTGCAGCTTTGAACAAAATCCTCATCGATTGGCTGGAAAAGATCCACAAGGATGCTACGCTGCATACCATCGCCAAGCTCTGAGCAATACTTTGGAGTTGAATGTTATTCTTTGCCAAGATTAGCTGACACAATTAGCTCCCCTATTGTGTCAGCTCAGTAGGGGATTCTGGGCCTTGTACTCTCAGTGGGCAACTTCTATAAGCTCTGATCCTGACTCTTGGGGGCCAAATGCAACTTCTTGGGAATCTTTGCATCTTCTCTTAATTTTGCTTAAGCCTTTAAGTCTCCCTTCCTTGAGGTTTGAAAGATAAACATCCGGATATTTGGTTGGATCGTGACCTGGTGACTGACTGAGCCAATGATTATTATAACACTGTTGTTGTTCCTGGGTTAACAATGTCATTTCCTAATTGGTTCTATCATCAAAACATGGAAAAAAATTACTAAATTCTGAAAATGTGTTGTTGAAGGCTTTCATGGCCAGAACCACTGGCTTGCTGTGAATTTTCCAGGCTGTTTGGCCATGTTCCAGAAGCATTCTCTCCTGACATTTTGCCCACATCTATGGCAGGCATCCTCAGAGATTGTGAGGTATCATTGACAGCTTTCATGGCAGGAATCCCTGGGTTTCTGTGAGTTTTCCAGGCTGTATGGCCATGTTCCAAAAGCATTCTCTCCTGACGTTTCACCACCATCTATGGCAGGCATCCTCAACGGTTGTGAGGTATCATTGAAAGCTTTCAAGGATGGAATCCCTGGGTTTCTGTAAGTTTTCCAGGCTGTATGGCCATGTTCCAGAAGCATTCTCTCCTGACGTTTTGCTCACATCTATGGCAGGCATCCTCAGAGGTTGTGAGGTCTCATAGAAGGCTTTCATGGCTGGAATCATTAGGTTACTGTGAGTTTTCCAGGCTGTTTGGCCATGTTCTAGAAGCATTCTCTCCTAACATTTTGCCCACATCTCTGGCAGGCATCCTCAGAGGTTGTGAGGTCTGTTGGAAACTAGTCAAGTGGGGTTTATATAGCTGTGGAATGATGTCCAGGGTGGGAGAAAGAACTCTTGTCTATTTGAGATAAGTGTTGATGTTGCAATTGGCCACCTTGATTAGCATTAAATAGCCTTGCAGCTTGAAAACCTGGCTACACAGAGAAGCCACTGAAATCCACAATTTCAACAGAAAGGAGAAAACCATGAAATTGAACACAGTCTAGCTACCAATATTTTAAAAACCCCTCCAAAATCAGGGCAGTAAATAAAGAGGAACACTCAGAAAACTGGAATTTCAGAGAAGAATCAATCAGGTCCAACTAACACCTCCCAACAAAGGATTCCCCCAGGCAGCTTTGAAGCTGCAGTGCTATTCAGTGCTAATCAAGGTGGCCAATTGCAGCATTCACACTTGCCTCAAGCAGAAAAGAGTTCTTTCGTGTTAGGGTTTGAGGCAAGTGTGAATGTTGCAATAATCAGGGCCAGCTAACACCTCCCAACAAAGGATTCCCCAGGCAGTAATAAGCAAGGCCATTCAATGCTAATCAAGGTGGCTATTTGCCTCAAGCAGACAAGAGTTCTTTCTCCCACCCTGGACATTATTCCACAGATATATAAACCCCACTTGCCTCGTTTCCCACAGACCCCACAACCTCTGAGGATGCCTGCCATAGATGTAGATGAAATGACAGGAGAGAATGCTTCTGGAACATGGCCAGACAGCCCGGAAATCTCACAGCAACCCAAACTGCAAAAACTTGGTTTTTATGCAGTAAATTTTGCTATAGTTTTCCAGTGAATATGTCACAGAGTCTCAACCCACTCAACCAAATTTCTGGCAGGCACAAAAACAAAGTTCTAGAGCATGGCCAAACAGCCCGGAAAACTCACAGCAACAACAACAATAACAACAACATCTAAGAATAATAATAATACTATTAATGTAAGGACTGCATAATTAAACAGGAAATAACACTTTCAAACCAGGAACAGAAATGTTTTCTAATTTTGTTACATAGTTTAATAAGGAGGTGAAATTTAAGATTTCACCTCTATGATTAAGATGTTAATACACAACCTTGCGTTAATACACAACCTTAAGTAGAGTCAGCTGGGAGTGTATCTGAGGTCCTTTTAACTACAAAACCAATGTGCCTTACTACTGAATGGAAGCCCCTGTTTCAAGTCATTAAGGTGCCTTAAGATGTGTATTTGTTTCTAAGTTTGAAAGACAATCAGGATTTGCAAACACTGATTTTTCGAACTTCTTCCAGGAGTTTGCCACCCAAAATGTAACTTTTCCAAATTGTTGGAATTCTTGGGTGGTTGCTTGTATCGGTGCTCTTGCTGAAACCTGCTTTTTTCGCTCCGGGAACTTGTAATAAAATCAGTAATGAACAAAATGTTTGCAAACAGTGTTCTCTTATTGAAAAGCCTTTGCCTGGAGATAAGTGCAACGACCACCAGCTCCTACACCATCTCCCAAAGAGGTTAAAAGTGTATCCATCGGACCTCGTATTGCCTTCTCCTGATATAGAATCCTAGAGCTGGAAGAGACCCTCAAGGGCCATCCAGTCCAACCCCCCGCCATGCAAGAAGGCACAATCAAAGCACTTCTGATAGACAGCCTCTTAGAATCATAGAATCATAGAATCAAAGAGTTGGAAGAGACCTCCTGGGCCATCCAGTCCAATCCCCTGCCAAGAAGCAGGAATGTTGCATTCAAATCACCCCTGACAGATGGCCATCCAGCCTCTGTTTAAAAGCTTCCAAAGAAGGAGCCTCCACCACACTCCGGGGCAGAGAGTTCCACTGCTGAACGGCTCTCACAGTCAGGAAGTTCTTCCTCGTGTTCAGATGGAATCTCTTTTCTTGTAGTTTGAAGCCATTCAGAAGACAGCCTCTTCTGAAAAGTCTCCACAGAGAAGGAGACTCCATCACACTCCAAGGCAGCCTATGCCGCTCTCCGACAGCTCTTACTCTCAGGAAGTTCTTCCTCATTTTTTCAGTTGCATCCCTTTCCCTGCCATTTGAACCCATTGCTCCCTTCTTGTGTCCTGGTCTCTAGAGCAGCATAAAGTCAGTCCGCCCATCCTCCTTCTCAATGGGACACCCTTTAAAATCTGGAAACATGATTCACATATTCCCTCTCTACCTTCTCTTCTCCCTTCTAATCATCCCCCAGGAGGAAAGGAGGAAAGAAAAAGAGAAGGAAGGAAGGGACTAAGAGAAAGATGGAAGAAAGGATGGAGGGAAGGGTGGGAGAAAAGTGAGAAGGAAGGAAAGATAAAAGGGAAGAGTAGGTGGATGGATGGATGGAAAGAAGGAAGGAGAAAGAGAGAGGGAAAGGAGGGAGAGAAGGATGGAAGGAAGGATGGAAGGGAATGGAGGAAGGTAGAGGAAAGAGGGAAGGAAAGACAAAAGGGAAGGAAGGAATAAGTATGAGAGGGAAGGAGGGAGGAAAGAGGGAAGGAAAGACAAGAAGGAAGGAAGGAAGGAAGGAAGGAAGGAAGGAAGGAAGGAAGGAGAAAGAGGAAGGAAAGACTAAAGGGAAGGAAGGAGTAAGAGGGAAGGAGCAGGGAAAGAGGGAAGGAAAGACAAAAGGGAAGGATGGGTGGATGGATGGATAGAAGGAAGGAGAAAGAGGGAAAGGAGGGAGGGAAGGAAGGAAGAGAAAGATGGAAGGGAATGGGGGAGGTAGAGGGAAGAGGGAAGGAAAGACAAAAGGGAAGGATGGGTGGATGGATGGATAGAAGGAAGGAGAAAGAGAGGGAAAGGAGGGAGGGAAGGAAGGAAGAGAAAGATGGAAGGGAATGGGGGAGGTAGAGGGAAGAGGGAAGGAAAGACAAAAGGGAAGGAAGGAATAAGTAAGAGAAACCAAGGGATGAAAGAAGGGAAGAAAGAAAAAGGAAGGAAGGAAGGAAGGAAGGAAGGAAGGAAGGAAGGAAGGAAGGAAGGAAGGAAGGAGAAGGAGAAAGAGGGAAGGAAAGACTAAAGGGAAGGAAGGAGTAGGAGGGAAGGAGCAGGGAAAGAGGGAAGGAAAGACAAAAGGAAGAAGGGAGGGAGAGAGGGAAAGAGGGAAGGAAGGAAGGAGTAAGGGAAGGAGCGAGGAAAGAGGGAAGGAAGGAAGGAGAAAGAGGGAAAGAAGGAAAGAAAGACAAAAGGGAAGGAAGGAGTAAGAGGGAAGGAGTGAGGAAAGAGAAGGAAAGACAAAAGGAAGGAGAAAGGGAAGAGGGAAGGAAAGACAAAAGGGAAGGATGGGTGGATGGATGGATAGAAGGAAGGAGAAAGAGAGGGAAAGGAGGGAGGGAAGGAAGGAAGAGAAAGATGGAAGGGAATGGGGGAGGTAGAGGGAAGAGGGAAGGAAAGACAAAAGGGAAGGAAGGAATAAGTAAGAGAGGGAAGGAGGGAGGAAAGAGGGAAGGAAAGACAGGAAGGAAAGACAAAAGGGAAGGAAGGAATAAGTAAGAGAGGGAAGGAGGGAGGAAAGAGGGAAGGAAAGACAAAAAGGAAGGAAGGAAGGAAGGAAGGAAGGAAGGAAGGAAGGAGAAAGAGGGAAGGAAAGACTAAAGGGAAGGAAGGAGTAGGAGGGAAGGAGCAGGGAAAGAGGGAAGGAAAGACAAAAGGAAGAAGGGAGGGAGAGAGGGAAAGAGGGAAGGAAGGAAGGAGTAAGGGAAGGAGCGAGGAAAGAGGGAAGGAAGGAAGGAGAAAGAGGGAAAGAAGGAAAGAAAGACAAAAGGGAAGGAAGGAGTAAGAGGGAAGGAGTGAGGAAAGAGAAGGAAAGACAAAAGGAAGGAGAAAGAGAGGGAAAGAGGGAAGGGAAGACAAAAGGGAAGGAGGGAAGGAGAAATGGAGAAACGGAAGGAGGGAGGAAAGAGGGAAAGGAGGGAAGAAGAGAAGGAAGGAGGGAGGGAGGAAGGGGGGGAGGGAGGAAAGAGAGAAGGAAAGATGGAAATCATAGAAACATAGAGTTGGAAGAGACCTCGTGGGCCATCCAGTCCAACCCCCTGCAAAGAAGCAGGAAAATTGCATTCGAAGCACCCCCAACAGATGGCCATCCAGCCTCTGTTTAAAAGTGGAAGGAAGGAAGGAAGGAAGGAAGGAAGGAAGGAAGGAAGGAAGGGAGAAAGAGAGGGAAGGAGGGAGGAAGAGGGAAGGAAAGAGGAAAGGGTGGAAGGGAAGGAAGGAGGGAAGGAGAAAGGAGGGCCTGAGAAAAGAGCTCAAGGGCCTGCGTTTGCCCATACCTGCACTAGAGACAGAAGATCCAAACTTTCAACTTTCTTAAAACTTCATCCAAATCGAATTTACAAAATTATAAAAAAATCATCCTCTTGGCTGTCCTAGAGAGCCAAGGGTGAAGAAAGCTGGCATTCACAGTCCAGTCATAAAATTCACATTCTTGTTCTGTTTCAGAAGGAATGAGAAAGTGCCTTCCATAAGCTCCTTAGCCCTTGCAAAGGAGGCAAATGTGGGGAGGGAAAACACACCGTCCCCTTTGAAATCACAATTCTATTCCTAATGAAAAACAGAATTGAATTAAGAGAGAGAGAGAAACGGCCCCAGAGCCAAATCCGACCATAAAGCAGCGGGCGTTGGGTTTATGCAGACTAAATCACGCCTGACAGAGCTGATAGCCCTTTTCCCTTTTTATAGGATTACACTCCAAGGGGAGAGCCTTGCGAGGCTGGATTTATCGGGGCGGGGATGTTATTAAAGCGTATGATCCGGCCGCTCGCAGAAATCCATCTCGGGGAAATTAATTCAAATGGCCTGCAACAGGAACAAGGCCGGAAAATGGGAGGATAAATGCCCGGCAAGCCAAGCTCAGCTCTCTCTCTCTTGACACTGGCCGTTTAGCAGGAATTCAGTATTTCAAAACCTATAGTGCATGCTCTTCGGCTCAGGTGAGTTGCTTTTCTCTTGCCTGGAAAGGTAATAATAGGAGGATGGAAGGATGACATTGTCCGCTAAATAAGACTTACTTAGGCGATCCCTCGTAGTCCGAGGATGATGGTCCTCCAAGATCGATGTACTGGCGGTGGGTCCGTAGGTGACTGTGGAGCCCTATTCTTAACCTGTGCGGGGCTGGATGAATGCAAAGCTGGGGTAAAAATTGCTGGAAGAAACATTAACAACCTCAGATATGCAGATGACACCACTCTGATGGCCGAAAGCGAGGAGGAGCTGAGGAGCCTTCTAATCAAGGTGAAAGAAGAAAACGCAAAAGCTGGGTTGCAGCTAAACATCAAAAAAACCAAGATTATGGCAACAAGAATGATTGACAACTGGGAAATAGAGGGAGAAAATGTGGAGGCCGTGACAGACTTTGTATTTCTAGGTGCAAAGATGACTGCAGATGCAGACTGTGGCCAGGAAATCAGAAGACGCTTCCTTCTTGGGAGGAGAGCAATGTCCAGTCTCGATAAAATAGTAAAGAGTAGAGACATCACTGGCAACCAAGATCCATTGCCTAGTCAAAGCCATGGTATTCCCTGTAGTCACCTACGGATGTGAGAGCTGGACCTTAGGGAAGGCTGAGCGAAGGAAGATAGATGCTTTTGAGCTGTGGTGTTGGAGGAAAGTTCTGAGGGTGCCTTGGACTGCGAGAAGATCCAACCAGTCCATCCTCCAGGAAATAAAGCCCGACTGCTCACTGGAGGGAAGGAGACTAGAGACAAAGTTGAAGTCCTTTGGCCACATCATGAGGAGACAGCAAAGCCTAGAGAAGACAATTATGCTGGGGAAAGTGGAAGGCAAAAGGAAGAGGGGCCGACCAAGGGCAAGATGGATGGATGGCATCCTTGAAGTGACTGGACTGACCTTGAAGGAGCTGGGGGTGGTGACGGCCGACAGGGAGCTCTGGCATGGGCTGGTCCATGAGGTCACGAAGAGTCGGAGACGACTGAACGAATGAACAACAATTCTTAACCTGCATGTTCTTCCGCAGTGAGGGCATTGGTTTCCAGGTGGAAGGCGGTCCCGGTCAGGGTTGGCTTGATGTGCCTTCCTCTTGGCACATTTCTCTCGTTTGCCCTCCATTTGTGCCTCTTCAAATTCTACAGCACTGCTGGTCACAGCTGACCTCCAGCTGGAGCGCACAAGGGCCAGGGCTTTCCAGTTCTCAGTGTCTATGCTAGAGTTTTTAAGGTTGGCTTTGAGCCCATCTTTCAATCTCTTTACCTGTCCACCAACATTCCATTTTCCGTTCTTGAATTTGGGAGACGGTGGTTGGGCATCCAGACAACATGGCTGGTCCAGCGGAGTTGATGGCGAAGGACCATCGCTTCAATGCTGGTGGTCTTTGCTTCTTCCAGCACGCTGACATTTGTCCGCCTGTCTTCCCAAGAGATTTGCAGGATTTTCAGAGGCAGCGCTGATGGAATCGTTCCAGGAGTTGCATGTG